AACCATTAGCGTGTGGTGGATAACAAGATTTTCATAATGATTGGGAAAGGATAGTAGCGCGAAATGGATGTTAGCGTTGTCATTCGTGTGGAAAAAATTTGCAGAGTGGAACATTTTGTTAAACAAATTTTAAGTTTTGCAACTAAAATTTTCAGTTTGGAAAGAGCGCACTTAAATTTGTTATGAAATTTTAAACTTAACGACAGCTCTCGTTAAAGCAAACAACTTTTATAATTTACTTGATTTTTCACAAGGGTAGCGCTTGAATTTTAGAGCCTAACGAAAGCCTTTAAGCTAAACGATGCTTATCTGTTTGCTTTAGTTTAACCTCTAAATGGACCCTAGGACAGTTTTAGACTCAAAATAATATGAAAAAAAACTTTGAACTTAACGAAATTTTTCGCATACTTATATTGAAAGCTATTTTTGCACATTTGCATAATTGATACCTTCTTGGCAAACTGAACGAAAGATTTAGTTTATTTTAACCTCAAATTACGGTTTCAAGCTAGAATGAAAAGTTGCTTCTAACTTGACGAAAGTTTTCAAACTTAACGAAAAACTTCAAACTTGACGAAAATTTTCAAAACTTAACGCAAATTTGTAAACTTAACAAAAGCTTTAAACCAGTTTCTTTTTTTTTGGAAATTTAAGATTCGCAACAGTTTATTCGAGGAATTTTTTTATTAAAGTTTTCAGTTTAAAAAACCAGTTTGAGTTTGAATTCGCTGTTCTTTTTGACTTTAAGAAAGTTTAAAACTTAAAGAAAGTTGTAAAACTGGAACCTACCTAGCAAAGCGAACGATAAATGTCAACTTATCAAATTATCATATAATGCTTAACTTGACGGAATTTTGTTAACTGAACGAAAGATGCCAAACTTAACGAAAGTTTTTAAACTTAACGAAACTTATCAAATCGGCTTATTTTTTCTAAAAACTTAAAGTCAGCACTAAACGGTCACTTATTTCAAATGCTCTATGAACAAAAGATTTTATTGTTAATAAAATTTCCAACCTAAATAACGATTTTAAGCGTAATTTCATTGTTATTTTTAACTTGACGAAAATTTTCAAACTTAACGAAACTCTTCAAACTTAACGAAACTCTTTAAACTAAACGTAGCTTTTCAAATCAGTTTACGAGTTCAAGGTACTAAATTATAAATTGCATAAATCTTAATTCAAATCTATTTCCAAGCGAAAGATTTTATTGTGAATTAAATTTTCAATTTAAATTATGATTTTAAGTTTAAGTTCGTTATTATTTCTAACTTGATGAAAGTTAATAAACTTAACGAATTTTTCCAAACCTGACGAAAGTCGCCAAACTAAACGAAAATTTCCTAACTTAAAGAAAGTGTTTAAACTTAATGAAAGTTGCTGTGCCTAGTGAAAGCTTGTCAAGGAACTTAACGAAAGTCGCATATCTGAATAACTCGTTTATTTTTAACAAATTACAAAAACCACAATAGATC